AGGATGGAAGGCTGAGTCAACCCTGAGCCGGTGAGATTTGAACCGCCGAACTGCAGATAACAGTCAGCTGAATGGCCTGCCGACCTTGGAAAGAGGCAAAGGAAAAACCTTGCCAAGAAAACTGCAGCGCCATTACCAGGAGGCAACACAAGAGCACACTCAAACGGGCTTCGACCGTTTTGTCAAGGCATTTGACGTCAAAATACAAATGGACAAGGCGTTATTTTTGCGTTAAGAATTCGGGCTGGGTAGTTTGGGGGTGAACGGATAGTGGACCCTGAGAAGCACAGCTAGAGGCGCATCACGGCGTCTGGGAATTCCCCATTGCCACCAGGCGCCATCACTGCCCGACTGCTGGGACAGAAGCGGTAGCCTTTTCAGCCTCACCTGCGAGAGACGCTTACAGTGCAGAGAAGTCGGTGGGGGCAACAGAAGCCATCCTGGCGGCCGTTCCTGTCTCAGAGCTGCAGTAGCAGCAGCGCCGCCCCCGCCGCCCGGCTCATTCCTTCCTTTCCACGGGGAGCGTCCAAAAGGGAGGCCCGGCACGACTTGCCCGCCCGTCCAAGCCCAGCTCACCTGCGGGTCGACTTCAGCGGGCCCCGCCCCTGATTCCCAGGAAAACACGCGAGACTGCAGGTTGTGCCGCGAAGGACGCCTTTCAGATCCAAATAAGGATCCGTTGAGTCGGGATTTCCGCTCTCCCTCCTTTTCCGCTTGGCCACAGACAACATCCGCGCAAGCTGCCCAGAAAGGCCATTTTTACGGGCGTGGGACTACGGCTTAACGTCGTGACGTAGGCGGGAGGGGCTTGGATTTCTGCTTCTCCTCCAATCACGTTTGAAGTGGCTTTTTCCTCGCCTCATTTTTTCTGTTGGCTGAAACTGGAGGTGGGGAAATGAGTCCTAAAATTAGCTAGTAGGTATTTGCAGGAAAGGAAGCACTAGATTAATTAGTAGTTTCGGCTTTCATTTGGCCATAATGGTTGCTTTCACAAGAAACACGGACTCCTCCAGGTTTTTCAAACTTGGTAACTATATGGACTTCAACCACCAGAATTCCCCAGCCAGCATGAAACCCCATATCTTAAAAGTTGGCAACTTTGAAAAACATTCAGAGTCTTTCAAGCCTGGATGTGGGGGTCAGATTATTAATGTTCAGCTCCTAAAATATGCTACTGAATATGGTATCTTAACTGGGAAAACCACTTCGGAAAAACTTTGCTAAGAAAAAGAACTTTGCACAGGTTCAGTATAGGTGGTATCTTACTCAACAGTAGTAACTGTGAAAGGGAGTCCTAGTGGACAACCATTTAAATATGAGCCAGCAGTGTGCAGCAGCTGCCAAAAAAGCCAACACAGTTCTAGGCTACATAAACAGAGGGATAGAATCAAGATCACGTGAAGTTTCCATTTTCACTTTTTTTTTCTTATTTTGAATCCCTAAGCAACAATTTATAAATAAGGAGTATGTATTCAAATGTGCAGAAATCCCTTTTATTTCA